ATAGAGTATAATATATTTTATAGTTCTAAACTATATAGTAATACTATTTTAAAAAAATAAAATATTTACTAAGTTATTACTTTATTAACTTAAAAGCTATTTATAAAACTTCTCTAGCTTATTAAAGAATATAATATTATTTAGCGTTTTTATTATATTTAAGATCTCTTTAGTTATAGCTAGTATATTAAAGCTAGCTTTATATACTTCCTCTACTTATAATAAAACCTTTTTCTTTTTTAAACTTATTTTAGATCTATAATAGTCTATTTATATTTTCTAGTTTTTATAAGTATAATTTAAACTATAATTCCTAAGTTTAATAAGTTTAATAGTTATAAAAATAACTTTAAAAGTAATAGCTTATTAGATTAATACTTTAAGAATTTACTAAAAGAGCTTACTCTTATAATTAAAGATATTTTTAATTTTATTTCTATTTTTAAGCTTAGCTTATACTACTATATTTAAAGATAACTACTTAATATTAAGTATTTAAATATCTTTTTAGCTATTAGTTCTCTAATCCTCCTTTATAATAAGATTTAAAGCTTTATTTATTCCTAATTATAATAAGCTAGTTATTATACTAAATATAATAATAGTAGTTTTTAGTTTCCTTCTTCTTTAAGAATATAATAAGAGCTTTAAATCTTATTAAATATATCTAAGTTAGGGATAATATAAAGAAAAAAAGCTATAAATTAGTTAGTAAAGAAACTAAAAGTATATTTTAGTAAGTATTAAGTAGTATAGTAATAAAAGTTATTATTAATCTATTTATTTATATAACTAAGTTTTATCTTAATTTAATAGATAAAAAAGCTACTAAAAATTAAGCTTTTTAAGGTTTTATTAAATAAGCTAATAAAGAAACCTATATTAAGTATATAGTAACTACTAATATATATATCCTCTATAATAATATTTATAAACTATAGTTCTAAAGTAGTAATATCTATAAAGTTTCTAATTATAATTAAAGTTAATATAATTCTGCTTTAAAGTCTATTAAAGTTAATATAGTTTTTAGATATAATATTTATTATAGAACTAATATTAATAATTCCTAATTATTCCTCTACTAAGTAGTATCTAATTTAAATAGCTACTTAAAAGTGAGGTATAATAAAGTTATATATTATAACTATATACTTTCTATTTAAATAGAGTATAACTTTAAGTTAAGGTTATTAGGAGTTTTTTATAGCTAAAACCTTAATATTAGTTAGTCTAAAGCTTTATAGTATTAATATATCTACTATATTTATATTAATATAGTAGCTTCTCTTAATAAATTATAGCTTCTCTACTAATATATTAGTATTACTTTTTATAGACCTAAGATTATTATTCTTAAGCTATTACTAATTAATTCTATATACTTTATCTTATTATCTTATAAGTTTCTTAATACTTCCCTCTTAGTTTTTAACTTATATAAATATTAGCTAAAGCTAGGTTAGTAGTAACTATATTACTACTATTTACTTAATTTTAATATTACTCTATATATATAGTTATATATTAAAATTTAAGCTATCTATACTCTAGCTAGTTATCTAAGAAAAACTATTCTAATAGAGTAATATTATTAGTTTACTTTTTACTATAAAAAGCTATAGCTTAAAAGTAGGTTTCTTTTAAGTTTTAGAAAAGGGTTATTTAGTATAGCTTCTTAGTTTCTTTATAATAAGTAAGTTCTTATAGTTAAAGTTATAAAAGGACTTATATAACTATTTTATCTTTAATTACTTCTTTAATTTAAGTACTTCTTATAAATATAACGTTTTATTAAGTTAAGATTTAGTCTATAAAGTAAACCCTCTTTACTAAGGAGTTATTATATAAAATATATTAAAAGTTATTATTCTTTATTTTAATAATAATATTAACCTCTACTAGCTTCTTATCTCTTATATAGTTAATATTAATTATATAACTATATATACTTAATATTAATATAATTAATAATAGTTATTAATATTTATTATTTAGTTTCTTTTTATTCTCTCTAAGCTTTATTTATAGTAATTATAACCTCTTAATAATAAATAGATAATTTTAAGCTAAATACTTACTCTAAATAATACTTATTATAGAATTATTTTACTATTACTTCTAACTAGAAGTATACTTTATTTTAGAGGATATAAGCCTAAATAGTTACTAAGTTAAATATTAAGTTCTTTTATTCTTTATTAATAATACTATCCTAAATAATATTATAGTTAGTATAAATATTAATATACTACTTTCTTAAGTAGTATATTACTTTAGTATTCTTTAACTTATCTATAATATTATATTTAGCTATATAATATCTATTTATTCTATAAAAGTAATAACTTTTAATCTTAGGTATATTATATTATATTTAATTTATAATAGTTAAGTTTATAAATTAGCTAGCTTCTTTTTATTATTTATAACTTTTTTATATTATAAATACTTAGTTTATATCTATAATATAACTATTTTATATTAACTTAAACTATTAGCTAAGATTTATATTTAGCTTCTAAATATTAACTATAAGTACTTTTATTTTTTCTTTAATATTTATACTATTAAGAGATATTTAGTATATCTACTTTTAAAAAGTAATAACTTTATTAGAATTTACTACTTTTAAATTACTATATTACTACTAAATATAAATAATTTATATAAACTAATTATTAAGCTTAATAAAACTAATAATTAGAAGAAGAGTAGCTATTTTTATAACTTTCTTTTTATTAATATATATATATAAGTTCTCTCTAGCTACCTATTTAATAATTATATGCTTAATACTTAGCTAAAGCTTCTAAAGTAAGTCCTTAATATTATAAAAGAAAGTTTTTATAATAGCTTTAATAGCTCCTTTTAGTAAATATCTATAAATAAAGTAAATAAGATTTTAGTTTTAATACTTTAGGAGTTCCCTTATAATAGTTTTATAGTATAAGCCTTTAATATAATTAAAAAGAGCTATAATATTAATAGTATTAGTCTTAAAGAGGGGAAGCTTATCCTTAATTACTTAAAGCTCTTTATTAAAATCTTAATAAAAGCTTTTATCTATAATATTATATTAGTTAATAAAAATAGCTTTAATAGCTTCTTAATTATTAAAGTTCTTAATTAGTAATTTAATACTTTACTTTAAGTTCTTAAGATAATAGAGGTAGACTTTTATTAGCTTATTTTTATTAATCTAATAAGCTTTATAAAACTAAGAATTATAAGTTTTAATAAAATCTATAATATTATTACTTATAAATATAAGAGTATTCTTATTTTAAAAAGAATTTATTATAATTAGTATAAACTATTAAAGGTATAACTTTATTAGTTACTTAATAATTCTTATTAATTAATCTATAGAAATATAATAAATATTATTAATAAAAGCTATAAGTTATTATTAAATTCTATAAGTATTATTACTTAAAATATAATAAAGATTAATACTAAAAGCTTATTCTTTACTTTTATTAATACTAATATAAAAGTAAGTACTATTAGTAATATAGTTAATTTCTATAAAATTAATATTAATAGATTAAGTTTATAAACTAAAAAAGCTATTAAATAAGCTATTTTTAGAAGCTAAAATTACTTTAGCTTAATTTTAAATATTTTTAAACGTTTTAGCTTAGATAATAAATATATTAATAAATTTACTCTTAGTAGTAAAGTTATAAAGAATTAAGATATCTTTATATAATATCTCTCTAGTTATTTTAAGCTATATCTTAGCTATAGTAATTATTAATAATTAAAATAATAAAAATATAAGTTATTATCTTAAATAGTTAAAAGTATTAATTTATTTAATCTTAAGTTTTATTATTACTTTTCTAAAAATATAATAAAAAAAAAAGAAAAAAGAGAAAAAAATATAACTAAATAAGTAGGTATTATACCTCTATTTATACTAATTTTAAGTTTAATTAGTTATACTATTTTAAGTTTTTATAGTTAACTTTATATTCTTTCTTTTAAGCTTTTATTAATTAATTTTTTAGGAGTTATATAGATTACTAATAACTTTATAATAGATTTATCCTATTTTTTTATAATAAACTTATTAATTTTTAAAACTATTTTATTTAAATATTATAAAGTTTTATATTTTTATTAGTTTAAAAAGCTTATTAAGTAGATCTAATTTAGTTTTAATAGCTTATAATATTAAAAAATAATAAGAGTAGAAATAAATAAAAATTTAATACTCCTTACTATATAAATTATAATACTTTTAAGGTTTTTTTTAAAGTTTTTTTATATCTCTTCTATTCTTACTAATAAAATTATACTTAGCTATTATATTTTTCTATTTACTAAAAATTAAGTTTATAAATAACTATTTAACTCTTATTAATATATTATATTTTTTAATATTATTTAGTTAATAATAATAGTTATAGTTATTATATATATTGCTTTAATTTATTTACTTAATATAAAAGTAAACTCTCTTCTAATACTTTATATAAATATTTAAAAAAGAGAATAAATCTATTTCTAAGTATTATTAAAATAGTTATAAACTAAGTAACTAAAAGCTATATAATATAATAATATATATATATTTAAAAGTATATAAAACTATTTTAACTATATAACTCTATAATTTTAAAGCTTATAATCTTAAAAGAAAAAAGAAAAGACTTTTTATATTCTTTATAGATCTAAAATAAAAAAAATAAGATAAAAAGCTTAAAAATCTACTAAAAAACGAGTAAATTAAGCTTCTTATCTCTATAAGGATAATAATAATATTTTAGCTAACTTCTCGCCCCTTAAGGGGGCTAGTAATCTGGCCTCTAAACGCCAAAAACGCCGAAAAATCCAGTGGGCCCACTAAACCCCATTCCAGCACTCATCCGATACCTCAAAACGTGGTCCAGTCTACATTCTCCCTGTCGCTGCCACAAAACAGCACAGCGAAAGCTCTCGCCGCATCTTGGGACGCATTCGCGAGTCTCACAAGCTCCCTTCCCGACCTCATGGACTTAGGCATCGCAGGATTTGGGACAGCAACGACGGTTATGGGCTCTCAGGTGTCTACTGGCGACTCTAGCAAGGGTATCAGGGCATCTTTCACATTCTTCGGCTTGAACACTACCGCAAGCACTCTGGTTTCTACTCTGGAACCAGTGAAAGCACGCGTATTGGGAAATGAAACAAGCCAGGGCCTGTCCGTAACCATCTCAACCCCGACGGTATTCGATTCATACATGGCTTTCGTCGACAGCCTCAACAATCCATCGGAGCCGGTGGCACAAATCAGTTTGATCTCCAGTCGTCTCCTCGGCCGCAAGGAGCTGACAGATATTCCTCTTGACACACTGCGCTCTCATCTACAGAGCATTACCACCTCGCAGGTACAAGGAAGCGCTTCCTCCCTCATCTTTGGGCTCCAAGGGGGCCCTGGGACGAACCAGGTTGAGGAAAAGATGCGTGGAGCTGTGACGCCAGCTTGGAGAGCAGCGTACATCCACCTCATCAGCACTGGGGCGTACGTCAATATTACAGACTCCACACCCCAAGATGCTTTGGCGACCGCAGCTGCATGGACTGAAGAGAACAAGGAGGCTGTCTGGCGTAAGTGGGCACCTGGATCTGGCTCATACTTCAACGAAGCCAATCCTTTCAACACCAACTTTAAGGAGGACTTTTTCGGTGGGAATTACGATCGTCTATTTGATGTCAAGCAGAAGTACGACCCTACTGCTAGCATGTTCGTTCTTTCAGGCCCTGGAAGCCACATGTGGGACTACAATCTGGACACTGGCAGATTGTGTCGCATGTCGTAAATACACTGGGCATCTGCATAGGGGTTTTCACAGCCGCTGAGAGCTTAGAGCGGACGGATGGTTTTGGGAGTAGGGGTCCACCTTGAGAGCATCTAGAATAGATCATCGATCATGTAAATTAGTGTATGTCTTAATAACCAAAATGATCCTGATTGCCCATATCTTCTAACTGAGCGATCCACCTTTTGATACGGACCCTTAGTTGTGATCACCAAGTTGCCCCTCAAATTCATGAAAATATTGAAACACAAGACACATACCATTCTTGAGCACGGCATGAGTTAAGATTCTATCAAAACTTGCAGAGGCCAGGTTAGAATATCCTGCCAGAATGACCCAATGCTGCTGGCAACGAGATGAACAACAGAGGATCCAGAACTACCAAATGCCCAGTACTGCCGATACCTGTGCAGTGTAGCAGCATAAAATGCTAGCACAACGAGAGCCTCTGGTTGATGTTGATGAAGAGCCTCGATATACCCATCTGTAACATATAAGGGCCATGCCATAACGGCGTGAACACCGACATCGTATCTTGTTGGCTCCTGTCTGGCCATATCCAAAACCCATTGGACACCAGCCAGTGCACCTAGACAAGCCTCTGTAGCTTCTGACGACGCTGTCATCCTTGTGAGAAACTCTCGCAGCTGATCGGTTTCTGTGCCCGGTGATTGTGACTCTGTCTGCTTCGAGAGGGTTGCAATGTACAGCAAAGGCTTCAAGTCCGACTGCAGAATCTCTGACCAATATTGTCCTGTCACGGCTCGGACGCCTCGATGAAGACGGCAGTAGCTAACAAAACTCTTCACAAAGTCTGCCAGTGTCCCGTATTCTGTTTTCAGCGTCTCATGAAGGACATGAATGCCTAGTAGCGAGGCGAAAATAAACGTGGGCATGTAGGTGCTGTCTGAAATATCGCCCTTGGCCTCAGAGAACAGTTCCAAAGACCGCGTTTGCAGCTCGGTGGCTTGGTGATTGAACAAGCGTGCCTCGGCACCACCTTGTGTAGATAGATGGAGCGCAGACAGTGCAAGAAGTTCGTTCAATAGGTAGGGAGCTGTGAATGCATGCTCAATAGCGGCGTTTATCATAGGCCGTACATTACCCCTCAGAGCCATGAACTCAGCCATGTGAGACTCGGCATGATGAAGGAACACCATGTGCGCCACAGTAAATGTTGGCGAGTCGCAATGAAGGCTACTCGTCAACTGCTGAGGAACGATGGCGACATTTGGCGCCGCACTGCTCGGAGGAGAGGGACTTTTGACTGTTCCAGTCGGTAGTTTTTCTTCGTCTGTATCAGTCTTGAGGAACGAACAGACCCGATCGCTCATGACGCAGTTCCGGCATTCTGGGCGGGTCTCGTCGCATTTGATGTGCCGCCGCTTGCACCCGGCACAGCCATTTCTCGACTTTTTGTGGGACCGACGACCTCCGGGGTGATGATCATGCTGCTGCTTTGGCATCGGTAGTGATATTGCGCGGAATGAGATGAATCAAGAAGAGGTCAAGGAGGGAAAAGAGCCAATACGCGGGTCTGCAAAAAGTAAGAAGAAGGCTGCAAGTAGAAAGGTCTGGTTTGTGCCGGGGCGCGATTCATATTCGCAGTCTTTGCACTAAGGGTATCTGTAGATGGGGCTAGATGCGGGTTGGTGCTTGTTTCGTACATCGTGGCTGAGGCCTTGTGAGATCCAAATTTTGCCTTACACGCGTATTTATTATCAAGCCCCACTTTATTTCAGAAGTTACATGCCTAGATCGCCGTGGAAAAAAGAATGGATTATGGATTCAGATCGATCAGTTGCCCGCGTCGTGCTTCACGCCGTGTTTGTCTGGATAATCAGAGCATATTGTACAAGGAACTCAATGAATTTTAATGGAAGGCTCATGAGTTAGTGAAGACCTCATCATATTGCACAAGTCGCTTACGAACTGACAGTATCATTTGACGAGCCGGCAGCGATTCTAACCAGGCCGAAGTGTTATGTACCGATCGGCGCTTTCGACAAACTCCGGTTTCCGATGAAGGCGCCCCCACTTGCCCGAAGGACCCGGTCTTATCAGCCGTTCTCCGTTGATAGGGCCTCAATTCAGCCCCCAGAGGATTCAAATGCTCCGCCCGAGTTTCCAATCGATGTGAAGCAGAGCGAGGAAGATATCGACATTCAATGAGGACTCCGTTTTCGTCCGTAATGATAGCTAGCTAGAACACAAGAAGCCCCCGATCGAGTCTTTTCCACGCAGCTACCTACTTAGTTAGTATTGCTACTTTGGTTGGCATGCATGTAGACTGCGTGATACTTGAAATGCGTCGCGTCAAATTTGTGGTCAATCTAATGCTTTTGAATACAGCGAATGCGACTGATATAAACGGCTTTATTTCACCTCAAGGTACCGCCCGAAGCGGCCACAAAAGACCTCTCGATTCGATGGCATCTAGCAGGAAAGCCTCTTCCCGGCGGGAGTTACGTATGTACGCCTATTGACTTGACATATATGGCAACGCGAGAATTGATATTCGAAAGATCTAGCGATAGCTACAGCTAGGAGAGACACCCACACGCCTATCTGAAAACCCATCGGCATACCTTTTTCCCCAAATGGCCGGACAACTAAGGTAATAGATGACGGAGCAAGACGAGGGTTGTTGCCCCAAGAGCACACTGGATTTCTTTCTAGATTGCAGGCAAAAGTGTTCAGTAAGTCCAAAATCACATTGTAGGTACTATTTGATGGAAATGTCTGGGGCGAAACGCCGAAAGCCCAATGCCGAGCCACATAAGAGCAGCTGGCGTGGCCAACAATCAATAGTACAGGAGTTTGCTGTGATGAACTTGCAACATGCGGGCACGATGAATGTCTTCGGGACAATGAACGTGTCTCTGGTGCTATTGAGGCTAGGCGAATGCTATTGGGATTGACGCACTTCCGTTTCCGCGGAGCAGATACTCCTGGGAGTCAACATCCTTTAAATCATTGTCATTAACAGTCTGACGACCGAACAAGCACATCCCCAAGTGAACGGTGCACTATCTCCAGCTAGCTGCACGAAGCGGCAGGCCCGGATGGTGAGATCGAATGAGTGGGTCTTGTCAATAAAGAGAAAGTAAACTATTGGGGCGCATCGGGCTTACATTTCCGAACTACCGACGGATCGCATCCTTAACCCAAATTCCACGTCGCAGGATGTCTCGGCGACCTCCTCACTCGCCATCCCTTCATTAACCTTAGATGACAGCCCAAAGCGAATGTAACCTCGGATAGGCATTTGACCAGGATGCAAAGGTTATTTTGAGGACTGCAGCTGAGCTGAGCTGAAAGCCAGTTGCGTTCGTAGAAGCTTTACGTCTTCACGCCTTCAGCTTCTCGCGTCAAATTTCCGCCGAGTGTTCACACGTTCGTCCCAAATCAGAGCGGTTTCCAGGACAGATCGGCATTTCCCCGCTAACTCTCAACGTTTCTCACCGCCATTGGCGGAGATGACTGCTGTCTACCGGGAGTTCTTAGTTTTACGACCATTTTGCCAAGCCACTAGAGCCAACTCCGCAAAGGCGCGGACAAAAGTTGCCCAACAGGAAGAAATTCATCAAGACCTTGTCTCTTGGCAGGTTACAACCGTCCCAAAGCAGCCGCCCAGATCCGAGGTCAGCGGGGGTCCTCAAGAGCCCTTGCAATTCTAAACGTGCTTAATGGTCTCAAGTAGAGTTAAGCTTACTCCCGCAACCACCCAATGTCGCATTAAACATAGAGTAAACAACGCCTTGTGCCTCCTCCAAACCATCGCGACTGGCGGAAGAACATTCTAATAGCTTGGCAGGACACGTCGTATATGAAAGAAAAGCTCGGCCGACCGGAGCGGAACCAAGCTACGCCATTCTCGATATGGAAGCTGCAACTCAATCGGGGATATTCCCGATGAAATAGATTGAGCTCACTGCTCAGAAATATTTGTATTAAATCACCTGTGTCTCCGCCGTTTGCTTGAGTCCGTGGATCACTGCCAGTTTCTCTTTGCTGCCCACTTATACCACTGTCTTCGACCCTCCGGCCCGTGCAAACCGCAGATCGTCATCATGAAGTTTTCCACAATCTTCGCGTCTCTGGCACTCAGCGCCGTGCAGATCACGGCTGCTCCCGCACCCGAGCCTGCCCAGCTGGAGGCTCGCGCGCCCACTCTTTACCTCTGTGGCGACAGCACCATGGCCCGCAGCAGCGACTCCCAGATGGATGGTTGGGGACAGTATGTCTCCAAGTACCTGAACATCGCCGTCGTTAACAGAGCCATTGGCGGTCGTTCCTCCCGCTCATTCTGGAACGAGGGCCGCTTCCAAAACGTCGCGAACGAAGTCAAGTCCGGAGACATTGTCGTCATCGAGTTCGGCCATAACGATGTCGGCTCGCCCCGCTCCAACGACAACGGTCGCTCCGTTTGCCCTGGCGAGGGTACTGAGACTTGCGTCTCCGACACCACCGGCGAGACCGTGTACACCTTCGTTTTCTACGTCATCCAGGCTGCCAAGCTCTTGAGAGCCAAGGGTGTCACCGTCATTCTCAGCTCTCAAACCCCCAAGAACCAGTGGTCAACCGGCAGCTGGGTTGGCACTCCCTCTCGCTTTGTCGCTATGCAGCTCAAGGCGAAGAACACTCTGGCCGACTCCGGTGTCACCTTTGTCGACCACCACCAGGCCGTCAGCAACATGTACCGCAAGATGGGAGCTACTGCTGTCAACGCTCTTTACATCAAGGACAACACCCACACCAGCCCGGCTGGCGCCGACTTGAGCTCCCAGGCTTTTGTTCAGGCCATCTCCCAGAACATGAACGGCACCACCAGCTTGGCCGCTCATGTCAAGACCCCGGTCAAGATCGTTTACTAAACGAACGGTTGATTCTCATGCCCAGAGTCAATTGAAAAAGCTGCATTGCCTTGCTTGGAGAGGTGCCAGGGCCGAGCAGAGGACAGCTCAATCCCTTATTCACTGTAAATATTATACGGAAGCTCCATTTGTACATATTTAGGCGCTCCTGTGCATAGCCTAGCCGTATCTACTGAATCACTCTACATTTCTGCCCCCATCTCAAGTGCTCACATCTATGTCCGAACCAAGACCCCTCTCTCGAAAAATAATTCATCTGAGACATAGAACTGCGTGGCTTGAATGGGATTAGGGAACTACGAACTTGTTTCCCATTCACTGGCAAACCGCAATAGCATCCATCCAACAAAAAATCGGCGAGTGTCTGAATACTCTCGTCCCCCACCTTTATTGTCTCCGGCGCCTGATGAAACTCCGCATGTGACTCACGATCCGCTGCGATCTGTCCTCAGAAAATCTTTCCCATGAACTTACACAACTAATGAAAATGGTCTGGTGGTGTAGTTGGTTATCACGTCAGTCTAACAGCACAGAATGTCTTCGGACGTTCTTCCTGGTTCACTGAAGGTCTCCGGTTCAAGTCCGGGCTAGATCATATGCATTCCTTTTTGTCGGGGCTAAACAGCGCGTGCAGCTAAATGTTTAGATGGCGCCTGTGTTAAAGCAGCTTGTACCTATAAGATATAACGAGAAGAAGGAAGTTTATTTATGTATTGAAACGTACGCAACCTGTGCGTTCATAATTGCGTTGCAAACCCCACCTAGCGCCTTAATTGCATCAGCATAATTGATAGCGCGTGACTTATATATAGCCCTGCCTGGCCGAGTTTTATGTGAACCACAACTAGATGTGATTATGATGGGCCAAGTGACGGCCGCAAATATCGTCGTCACAGACGGCAATGCAGCACCGCCGGCACCAATCAGTCTTCTTAGCGTTGGTCTGATTGCCACACCAGAAACACCAGCTAGGCCTCTGACCTTTCTGAACCAACATTTCAGAAAAATCTTCTCGAGCCTGGTGACTTGCAGTACCGATAATCTCATCAAGAACCTCGCCTCTGGACATGTCCGATTCAAGCCTCGGTAGCCACTTCACCCACGGAATCCACGATCCCGCTGTCTTAGCACCCATGACTAGAAACTCGCCACCAATGTCTTTTCGCACGAAAATCAAGCTTTCTAACCCGCCCAGAATATCTTGAGGCTTGACTTCATGCCCTCGCTTTTCGGCCTGTTCGAGGATAAATGAGCGGATAGTTTGGCCAATGATTCGACTGACCATTGCAAGGTTTCCTCTGATGGTCAAGTCGAGTGTAGTCAAGGCATGGATGAGGTCCGCGGTAGCAACTGGCTTCTGAAACTGGCTCTGCCACCTTTTGACTGCCACCGTCCGCGATATTCCGAGAATGCCCAACCTCTTCAGGAACTGGCCATCGAAATCGACAGCTGTACCTTGGATGCCTATAGCTTTCCCAAAGAACACGATATCAGGGCTTGCAACATGGGAGTATTCTTCTCTGAGAAACGAAAAGGGGGCACCGCAACGAATCGCGGTTAATGTTTCGTCCACGGCAAGTAGGAGACTCTCCTCCGCGCATAATGTAGCCAAGCGCGCCAACAGTCCAGGGTCTAGAATTCGGCCGTTGTACTGGTTTTCGACGATTTCAATAATGATTCCTATGCAGCCTTGGTCTTTGGCTTCATAGAGCTGATCTCTGAGCTCGTCATCCGACACGCCTTCAGTGTGGAGGAGGATCGGATCGTGACCGTAAGGTTTCTGGGTTGAGGAAAATCTCAGTCCTGGCTTCTTCAAATTTCTCTGTTAGGCCCACCATTGCTCATATTCTATGGGAAGACTTACATACTACTGAGCTTGAGACCGTGGTAGAGGCTGCAGCCGCGTACGTGTCCGACAGAAGGGCCCATCGAGGTCGTTTTGCCTGGATGTCCTCCCAACCAAGTCGTTTTAATGTGTCGTCTTCATCCGTAAACGGACTCTCAGATGATTCTGATGACTCAGACATGGAGATCTCCGTGAGAGTCAAGATGATTTTAACAACGTTGTCTGGGTTCATTGCCTTGCTGGTGGTAACCCCATAGTCAATGGGGTAAAACCCTCCAAAGTAAGCTCTAGCCGTCTCTTAGTAGTCTTCCAGGCTGTCATACCATGAGAATGAGAGACCTACGCGAAAGCTTCTTCATAAGAGTGAAGCAGTTCACCGTAACGGCGCTCTAACCCTATGCGGTTTCCAAGATATTCGCGCCAGAGAGGATTGTGGAGTGTCAGCGACTGCATTTGCTCGTAACATAAAATGCTGCCATCGCAGTTATTGAAGTCATGATCAAGACTGCGGAGCGGAAGGCCGGCAGGTACTGCCGTGTTGTAGTCTTGATCAGTTGACATGACGATTGTTGGAAGTCTGTGGCTTTGCGCAACTGATGTGTTGGAATCCAGAATGAGGAATTTCTCTGATTTGGTTTGTTAAATATCGATGTTTCCAAACCACAATTGAAGTATTCCTTTTGTCAATGCACCAGGGCTGCTTTTGCTGACCATGAACATATGAGGGTTGCAATGATTTGGTTGGAGCAAAGGATGTTAAAATATGTGAAGTGTGGTCGTTATATGATACCTGATATGACCATTCAAGTAGCAGTTGTAGATAGAATTCATACTGAGAAGATGGCTGTGATTGCTATACTTAGCCAAATGTTGCTGCCTCAAAAGTTCTCCCCCTGCTTGCGCCCGAGATGACAGTCAACCTAGAACGGTAGAGCCAGTTGGTGCACCTCGTGAGGTAGGGTCATGAGACTGAGTGGTTCTAGACCCTTCTGCGATATGTCGTTTGGTGTCCAATCGGCACAAAGAGTCACAGGGCCTCGAATAGTGTGATGTGGAGTGCTTGTTTTGACTTCAGAGGTACGCTGGAACGCGTTCACAAATAAGAATTGACAAGGGGTTCTTATTAAGGGGCTTCGAGGACCGAGGTTCATCCAACGGAACTGAAATGGATGTTGAAAAGAGGCCAAATGATAAGGCAAGATGTCATGGGGCTGAGACATCATGGTAGAAGCCATCACAATACCTTTCCAACAGCACATGCATGTACGCTTAGATACTTTTCAACATGCGTTCAACTCGTAAGTGCCACCAATAGAAGCGTTCCTGTCCCAAGGCGCACTTGCTATGAACGTGGTCAAATTCGCAGCATCCCTAAGGAAGCCTTACGTGAAGTGGCAGAGCCCCTTGGTCGTCAAATTGCAGTGCAGTCAATGGCTCGGCTCCCGAGCCACGTGAGTATGCACAATCCAGTCCATTTGTTTAGCCTTCGGACATGTCCGACGTGGGGCGAGTGAATTGGAGGAGGAAACCAATTGACCAATAATCTTCCCTTTTCACAAGCCCCTGCTCAGGTACGTGTAGTTGGGACGATGTGTGTGACAAGGTGCTGTAAATGAATGAGATACTTCCCGTCCAGGCATTCATTAAAATCCAAAGTCAGCCTTGCACATCCCAGACGCCTTGCAACCGCCTGCCCGGGGCGAATAATCGGGCTCACCCCTGTAGGTCCCTGTAGGTCAGACATTCCTCCGCCGTAAGCCGAAGGGATCGGCCCCGGCGACCCACACCTGATCGGCATCCTGCAGGGGGTTGCCCCAATCCTGACCCCGAATCAGACCGTCATCCCTCCGATCGCCGCCTGTCAGTATCAATTTGTTCTGGATCGGGGCAGTGTACAACGGTCAAATAACTTGATAGCATTCGTCTGTTTGTCCTGTTCATGCGGGTTCGCGATGAAGAAGTTCCCCAAGCCACCCACTGAGGCGCCACTTGCAAATCTCCGCGAAACAATCAGTCAAGCTCTACTCTAAGCTGATGTTAGCAATGTGCCACATCGCTGAGCCCTTTGCGACCTTTTTTTTTTTTTTTTGGGATGCCATTGGATCAAAAGCGACTTTCCGCCACTGGTCTGCCATCCATGGCCACGAGATGTGGCTGGTGTTGGGGCTCATGACGACTAATTGCCCAAGGGAATGATGGGAGATTGGCGTGTATTGTCTCTGTAGTCATTGGCTGCATTTAGAGGTGACTCTGGAAGAATCAGCCGTGGTTGGGGTCATCTTCTTATGGATGGTCACATTTGAGCTGGGATATCAGGATGCCTCCATATGTTAATTTCTAGGGGCAAAATCTGTCCCTCGAGCGTGGGCAAATCTACGCCCAATTAGTGTGTGATAACAATTTCTGGATGAGTTCCTCCAGGTAAATGGTGTATAAATAATGCGATGCAATGGTATTCATTGCCCAAGATGCTTCAAGATGTCCTGCACATTATTCCAAATCATGTACCCTTCCTCCCAGGGAGCTGCATGCCGGCCCTCACATCGAGTGCCTCTGACCACACGCAAACCGCCAATTCCGTTCAGGCGAGCTTCAAGCTTATCGGCCTGATTCGTCGGAACCAACTGATCTTCCGCGCTCTGATCTATCATGATGAGGCGCGGTGCCTTTCCGGACTTGACTCTCTGTTCGAGCTCATCAACAGGGACATGGGACGGACTTGGGGCCTCCCACTTTGCTTGGTCTGGTCCAAATGTGATGCTCTGAAATCCTTGATAGACTTCCTTGAGGCTAGCATGCGATGACCCCAAGTCATGTACAAGACCCGGCAGATCATACAATTCGTTCATTCCCACAACCGCCACGGGCCGAGGGGGCTCCATAGTAGCGTCGAGGCCCCAGGCTTGTGGTGACCGGAGAGTCGACTGGAAGGCAAGACATGCGCCAGCACTATGGCCTGAAAGGATGTATGAATCATCATGAAGACCAAGCGTACGTAGAAAAGCGAATCCTTGAAGAACGTCGCGGATATGGTCGGGATGATGCCCATCTCTCGACGGATCTGAGCTATCTCCCTTAGTCGGATCGTAAGGTAAAGTTGGATGAGTTGGAAATGGCGACAACGTATAGTTCATTGAGATGATCGCAGTGATTGGGTGTTTCGTGTCGCTGCCAGCAAAGGCATGAGCCGCGGCAGGTTCAATAGAAGTTGAGGTGAGTTCAGGGTCTCGCCATGCCCCGCCATGGATATGCTGCCAACAAGGAATGCCGTTGGCAGGTGAATATGTCGGCAGATTGGCGACTGGTTGTCCAACGAGGTTGTTTGTTTGATTCGTCTTCGGAAGGTAGATGTTAAGGGTCTGAAACCTGTGGCCATTGTTCACGTAAGGCAAGTTCAGAGCTGCGACCACCGGCACAGGCTGGTCTAGGTTTGGGCTCTTAACCTCCGTCAACTGCCACTGAGTGTTGTTAGAGCTCGCCATTCTGACGGCAATCAATTAGAAGAAGTGAATTTTAGTAGGACAACTAGATGCACAGGACAAGAAGTCGAAGTATATAAGCAACTGACCTGAAATGACCTGGCATACCCGGATTTAACTACTCTCCTAATGGTAAGTGCTGACAACTAGGACTTTTTGCATGCTATGTTAGAACCAATAGAGCAACTACTAAACCCGCGAGACGTTCGGAGTGATATGCAGCAGCCTCACTAGAGCGCACTAGGAAAACATTATCTCCGCGATCTCCGCTTTCTATTTGGCACGTAACACATGGGCGAAGAGGAACTGGAGAGGAACAACATTCGAATGGCATAACCGGCGATGTTATGCAAACCTGTGTGTGAAACCAATCCCAGAAGGACGGTATCGAATCGTGTTCATTACGTGAAGGAAAGGTGTCACGAATGCACACTGCATGATCGATGGGAGGCGTTGTATGGGTCAATTTTGGTAGTATTTAATGTTGAACTTTTAGTATGAACATTCAAATGACTAGGTTGTTTGTATACATAATGCAACGTGATTGTATTAATCCTTCGCAGCCGCCTCAGCATCCTCGTCCTGACCGTCCGCATCTTGGTCAGGATTGACCTCATAATACCTCAACCACCGCAGAACAGCGTACAGCAAGCAGGCTAGTAAAGACCCGAACGTAGGCCCGAACACGTAAATCCAGAAATAACCTGGAAACTGGCGATTGACCACAGCTGGTCCAAATGACCGAGCGGGGTTAAGCGACGCACCTGTGAAGTAGACTCCTGTTGGTTGAATAAACTGTTAGCACGTTCTGCTCTTCGTAATGTTCTAGTGATGTCTTCATGGACTACTCACCAACCAGTTCCGACAGGAAGAACGACACGCCGATTCCGACAGGTGCAAGAAAGGTTGAGCGATGTTTCTCAACGGCAAGCATCAATATGACAAAAACAAGCTGAGCGGTCAAGATCAGCTCGATGAAAAAGCCTTGTGCGGTGTTTGTCCCGTTTCCAAGAAGCGTGTCGACCACCAAAGGCCCGGGAAACATAGCAGACGCGATGCCTGCTGCGCATATTCCAGCTATTATCTGCACGGGCAGGATGAGAAGGCCACGGAGTACCGGTAGTCCGCCACAGACTACGAGGGCTAGCGTAACCTTGGGGAAAAGCGAATTAGACAAAGGTCACCCAGAGAGAGACATTGGATAGGATTGATTTCACTTACGACGGGATTGAATAGCCCTCCACTGACTCGGTAAAATGCCCAAACGTTGGCCGTCAACGAGACACCAAAGGATAGGGCGACGAAGAGGATGACTGTCAGGGTATCTTCAGATGCACTGGCTGCTGCTACCACATTGGCAACTTGCGTTCCGGCGAAGGAGAAGAACAGGAAAAGAAAAGTGCCGCAGAACTCTCCTAATCCTGATACAATCTTGTTCCTTGTGGTATCGGCGATGCTAAGCATCGGGAGGGTATTGTCGTGGTCGCCATCGCTCGCCAGCTTTTGGATGACTCGCTTAGGATTCTTCATTTTGGATAGTAGTCGCGGCATGGTGAAGGTCGATGTCTGATCAGGGTCGGGGAATATTTAACTGAGGGCGGGACCCCAGTATCGAAGAAGGTCTAAGAGCCACGAGCTCTATATTAATTTGAGACATGTCTGTGTTTATATGAAATGCCGGTCCTTGCCCGTCACTTTACATGTTTTCTCTGTTTTTACTCCGTCAAAGAAAGGCATGGACGGGTGACGGAATCATTCCGAAGCAAGCGCCCGTTACGACACTAGACCCGCATCCGGCAGTGCCCCGACCTTCGAAGTATGGCAGCGAACCCAAAGCGGCGCCGTGTCTTGAAGGCACTGGTCAGCGCCGGTGACGCCACCTACACGAGACGCATGCTACCGGGCAAAGGCAGCCGAGCAATCAGGTCTGGACTCAACTCCAGATCAAATACGAGCGAGGGCTTAACGGCACTTAGCGCGCACAGCCTGCCCATAGGCGACTAGCTTCTGAAGCCACGGACATCATTGCCAATGAAGAACATGTCTCGGTTGCGGCATCTGTCAGTGTCATAGGCAATCTTC